GACTAGTAACACTGCAAAATTGTATTTATTAAGCCAATCATATTTCACTATCTTGCGTTATTGCGTTTTAAACAGAGGCGTCTTTACGCTTCAAGGACAGGAGAGAAGGGGGGGGGGGCTAAGCTCCCAATTGAGATGTGCAGGATGACCTAAATATATTTTCATTAACATCTAACAACATCTTTAGTACAGTAAAAAAAACAAACACAGTAATTACTGTATGTTTATAGCATTAAAAGCATATACAGGCCACATTTTATTAAATTTCTCGGCATTTTCTTTTTTAAATTTTAATAATTCAACACAAAATTAATTAGGAGGGCTTTAGAATATTCTAGGGGGGCTAAAGCTCCCCTAAAATAGCCCTGTTAAGTTATGACTGTTTTTAGCCCGTCAGAACTACTGAAAGCTTATTGTAGAACGTTTCAGATTGTAGAATTTGCGAAACAATTGTAGAATTTCCAAAACAATCATTTTTCAACTAAACATTCTCTTTATAAACTATTCTTAAATGACCGTTGAGCAGCGACGAGTTGCTCAAGGTCATTGCCTACGCAGGTGGCTAGAAGATTGTTCTCTCGGGGAAGAGATGATCCAGCAAGAGGTCACGTCCAAGGCGAATGAGTTCCTGGTCAGACTCGTCCTCTTCTCACTGCCCGCCATTCCCTTGCATTGGACCGGCCTTGTAAACGGACTCCGGGCCGTGACTATCAAGACAATTTGGAATTCTTTTATAAATTCACCGATGCAATTGCAGACCGTACTGGACCGGCCTTGTAAACAGACTCCAGGCCGTGACTCTCAAGATAATTTGGAATTATTTCATAAATTCACCGATGCAATTACAGGTTGTGTTTCTTACGGGTCTGATCACGTGGAAGTGATATAAGCCACAAGTTTTGTTGAAAAAATATGTCGTTGGCTGTACGAGTATTAAAAACTATTGAAAATAAATTTGTACAATCTAATTCAAATTATACTTTTTGAGTTGTTACTTGAAATTTATTAATTATGTTCTAAGAATTAATTTTAATAGTTTAATAGTGTAAAGTTCGTACTTGCTCGGGTAGTCGGCATTTTCAGTCTATAATAAGTATGTCAATATTTATACCCCTATCACGGCATAGTTTCCTAGCAATTCTACCCAACAAATCAGAGTAGAAATCGCAAAGGGCACATTATATTCTCCCTTCTTATTTATATGAATGATGCACTCAGGAACATTTTCTGCCTGTACAGCTCTTGTCCAGCCAGTTAGTGGAGCTCTTTAAGGCATGTGCTCATATATTTGCGGTGGCAAGGCATGTTGTCCTTGACTTGTAAAATCCACCTTCAATGCGTGGCTTTCCCTCTCTTATTCACATTATTTATCTTAAGATTTTTGAGAAACTAACTCTCCCCCAACCGTGGGTGCCATATTGTGACAGCCCGTCGTAATTTGTATAAAACAATGACGAAGAGTCGTGATACCTCCAGATTTTTACGATGCATTCTTATGGTCTAAATTTTCCACAGCTTCAATCGTGGTAAGATTGCAAGCGACCGCAAATGCCTGACATTTACGTTCCAAAAGCACAACACGTAATCATCCCTAAATGTACCAACTAAATTTGCCGCAAGGCCACTCGCTAGCCTTATAATATCTCAAGTTGTAATCACATACTAGCCACTAACTCAAGGTTTATGGATTATATTGGAGAAGCTTGAAATAAATATATCATGAACCATAAACATAGTAAAGTCGTATCTTCTTGAAATTCTGGCCGGACAATTAAAAAATAATGAAGTAATTCATTTAAATTTGGCTTGGTTCCTGTTATACTGATCTCGCTAGTAGGCAAAAAGTTGCGCAATATGATTTGTATTGCCCTGGAAACGGCAGATGGGGCAATGCATTGCTATATACATATAATGGTAATCGTCTTGTGGGTAATTACTTGTACGTGAACAATTGTTGTCTTGCGATATTCTAGTTCATTCCAGTTTCAAGGATTTCACACGCTGACTTTAGTACTTGTCGTATAAGATGCCATATGTACTTCAAGATCTCTTTGCTGATAGATGTAAGGTTACATTAATAGATTCCTGTATAGTAATTTGTCGCGCTCCAAACAAAGGTTGGGCGTTTGCTCCAAACAACAGCGAGGGAAAGTCTTAGGATCGTGGGATGCTCCTTCACGTAACGTGCAAGGCAGTCACCCATGACAGCGCTGGTTTCCAGCGATCATAGCTAAAAGATCCAGCAAAGAATTGCAAGCGACCGCAAATGCCTGACATTTCAAAAGCACAACACGTAATCATCCCTAAATGTACCAACTAAATTTGCCGCAAGGCCACTCGCTAGCCTTATAATATCTCAAGTTGTAATCACATACTAGCCACTAACTCAAGGTTTATGGATTATATTGGAGAAGCTTGAAATAAATATATCATGAACCATAAACATAGTAAAGTCGTATCTTCTTGAAATTCTGGCCGGACAATTAAAAAATAATGAAGTAATTCATTTAAATTTGGCTTGGTTCCTGTTATACTGATCTCGCTAGTAGGCAAAAAGTTGCGCAATATGATTTGTATTGCCCTGGAAACGGCAGATGGGGCAATGCATTGCTATATACATATAATGGTAATCGTCTTGTGGGTAATTACTTGTACGTGAACAATTGTTGTCTTGCGATATTCTAGTTCATTCCAGTTTCAAGGATTTCACACGCTGACTTTAGTACTTGTCGTATAAGATGCCATATGTACTTCAAGATCTCTTTGCTGATAGATGTAAGGTTACATTAATAGATTCCTGTATAGTAATTTGTCGCGCTCCAAACAAAGGTTGGGCGTTTGCTCCAAACAACAGCGAGGGAAAGTCTTAGGATCGTGGGATGCTCCTTCACGTAACGTGCAAGGCAGTCACCCATGACAGCGCTGGTTTCCAGCGATCATAGCTAAAAGATCCAGCAAAGCTGCAGCAGTCTTAAATGTTTGAAACATTTATTTTTGATATGATTGTTATTATGTGCATCTAATTTATGTGCAGCTCCCTATTTCAGATGTTCTGTAAAAATTGATGAATTTCACGAAGTTTAATGATATATTTATCACCTAAAAGAAACACCATTAAAAAGAACCAAATGAATAATTTAATTTCTGTCCTCAACTTTTATTTGGCTGGAGTTTCAAGCAGTTAATTGGTAATAAACGTGGATAAGATGACCAATTATTTCGAACTTGCAAAGAAAATGAAATCATTTTCCATTTCTGTGTGTACCTAAATTCAATGGTTATTTGTTTGAAATAACCAAAAATCGGATGACCTAAATCTTTTCGTACAAAAGACATACTTCAGATACAGTTGTTACATAATTGAATATATAATTGATAACTATTTTGGCTATTAATACGCTTTAATTTAATCTTATACAACGGACTTGGATTTCAAAATCTGAATGAACGTCGTAATTAATTGATCGCGACGAGGACAGATCTGACGCCAGCACCCGAGTTGAACATGACTTTAGTTCAGTCGACTTCGAGAACAACGCCGGGAAACCCGTCCGATGTCGTGAGTTTGAAAGGCACTTTGCGGCGCTGGCAAAAACTTGTTGCCGGCTCAATAGGTCAACATTTTTTTCTCTCTATAATTATTTATTATTTTTCTCATTCCTCATTTATTTATTTGAAATTTGGTTTCTGCTGCCTTTTAAGTGGTTACTATAATTATGAATGAGGGTAGATCTTATGTTGGATCATTTTTATCGTGTTATATATATGTCGAAATAGTCTTTTCGTTTTCAATGAAATAAGTATTTCTTCACGCGTTCCGAATGTAATTTGAAAAAAATCTACTCATTGTGAGTGGTATCCAGTTTCATGGTTCTTATAACAAAGAAAACACTTTTGAACTTAACAGAATACGTCTCAAAGTTTGATCACCTACTAAAAACATCTTTCGTTGAAAAAAAATCGTCTATGATCCTTCACCGGATTCCGAACTTCGACGTTAATTTGCTTATGCAAGATCAGAGGATAAAATTTATGATAATACTTGCTTGCCTTACCACACGGGAGAACTATACACTTTTTAACGGGAAAGCAAGTAGCGTGGGTGAGTTACGAAATGCAGATGAACTTTGAGAGTAGCAACTTGCTGGGGGACAACCCTGAGCGCAGGTCACATGATTTCTTGACCAGTCTCCTCTCAATGCCCTCACAATGTTTTTTTTCAAAACTCACACGTTACCGTTGCGTTTCGGTAATTTTAATTAATTTCAATTAATTTACCGTAAATAAGCTTCACTTGAGAATGTGAACACGTCCGTCGACGCTTGCTTTGTTCTTGTTGCGCAACGTCTGCCATTCTAATTTACCAATAAGCTCTTCATGCTCTGCCCAGTTCCCGCCCATTGCACACCGCCGTTGTTGAGGCGAGTAGTTCTCTTACGACCACCCTGAATGCTGATACAAATGTTATTTTCTCGTGTTAAATGCATGCGTGCGTTACTAGATGCAACGGAATGTAGCAAATGAGAAAGAGTGTTTTGATTCTTCGGAATAATTCGCGTTCGAAACAGTCCACTACAATTGGGAGCTTGGATCCATTTCCATCTACGGCCGACTTGCACCTTTTGTTTTCGAAAAGAACAAAAACCTAATCACAATGAACGACTTGAACTACGAAGAAGTCTCTAGTGAATTTACTCTGCAATTATTCTTCAAAATCCTCTCAGAACGGGAATAAATTTTTTCCTTATGCCTTGCTATTTTAGCCATTTATTTCACCATCATGTAGAAGAGAAAAGTAATAGCAAGGACTTCACAATCTGCTTTTTAGCGATTGCTCCAGCAGAACTAAGGATCCCAAGCAGGGCCGACCTCGCTAACCTTCCCTTCACACGCGCTGCTCTGCCGCATTATGGTCGCTGGGGTCACCGCTTCAACTCTCGCAGACGGTGGCCCAGCCGCTGTCCCGGGCCTGTAGTCCTTGAAGATGAGATCCTGTCGAGTGGCGGCTCATAAAAGCCTCGTGCAGTGAGTTGCCGCCGTCAGTGTTTTGTGATCCGCATCACTAAGCAGCATCATGAAAGTCGTGAGTATCTCCGTGTAAAATTATTCCAGAATGATTGTAGGACCTCTTCTATAATCTGTACGCTCGGAGGCCCGAAAAAATTTAGTCGTGCTGCGATGCATATAAACGTAAACTTAGTTTACTGAATGAAGGTACAAACACGTTAATTGGCCGATAAATGCAAAAATTATTGCATATTTTGAACATTTTCTATTCTTAGTTTCAAAGCTCCTTAGTTCTGGCAACTAAAACGTTGATGCATGTAGAACAAGTGTCAACACGCCAGCTAATTTCATACGCTATAATTTGCGGTTAGAACACTGAGGCTGTCAGCGTTGGACTGCCTCAAAATAATTTGTTCAATTGACTTATGCATAGCTCTGATTTTTTGTAATGCGACCTGGAAATGAAAATAAAAAATTTTTACCGATGAAAACAATTGTTATGCTGCATTTAGTTGCACATCTTTTTTTTAAGTGAAAAACCAGCAGCTTATAAAATTCCAATGCCACTAGAAGGTATACAAAAACAATTAATTCTAAAGCACGGTCAGCTGCGTAAGTGCTTTTATCGTAGTAATCAAAAACTTTCAAACCAAAATTAAATAGTTCCAGTCTTACTACACTATTTGTTCGTTGTGTGTTGGATCAGTAACACAGAGTTTGTAGATGGTCGCCGAAATTCAGTTCATCTTGCAATCATATTTTACACAATTACAGCAGAAATAATTTGCGAGAAATGAACAATTCAAATTGATCAGTCGAAAATATTACCTTTGTGAATGAAAATGACTTGAAATCATTTACTATGCCGTGCCACGCGATTATTAATTTAGTATGAACTATAGGGGAGTCTTTCACCTCGTGAGACATATTGTAAATTTATTTCACCTCGAAATTAGTGAAGAAATACTTATTGCTATTGACATGATAAGCGTTCTTAGAAGCAATTTATTGAATATTTTTCAGATTATTCTCCTCGCTCTTGTCGGAGTGGCTCTGTCCGCCAAGTTGGACAACCTGGGGCGCTCCGCCAGCCAGATCGGCGTCGTGCGTGACGACAGCGTGGCCCCAGTGGGTGCTCGCTACAGGACCTCCTTCCAGACCGATAACGGCATTACCATCGAAGAGGAGGGCAGCGAAGGATCTGTTGGACAGACTGTCGTCAGAGGATCTTATTCGTAAGGGATAGTGATACGTTTATGAAATATTCTCATGTCGAGGAAACAATAGAACACTGAAACGCTCATAATTTTTGTTGTGATTTTTTTTATTTAAATAATTGTTTATGCATCCTAGGTCTCTTGCACCAGTAGGAAATGATCTTTTCAAAGCAGTGCAAAATTCTGCTAGACAATTCTCGTTTCCTTTTATAATATTTTTCATTTATCAGGTACACTGCTCCTGACGGACAGGTTATCACCATTAACTACGTTGCTGATGAGAATGGATACCGAGCCACTGGACCTTCCATTCCCACTTTGAAAAGGACCGCCTAAATGGATATTATTTTGAAAAAATTATTTGCGAAGTGAATTTTCCTTAGAAGGTTAAATACTTTTATGATTTTTTTTTACTTTTTTGTGTTTTTTTTTTATGACAATGGTGAAATCAGTGTCTGATCTACTGACGCTGTAAGATAAATTTTGAATTAATTTGGATTTCATTATCGACGGGTAGATGAAATCGTTCGACCGTCGAAATCATTATCGACGGTATACATTATCTTGCAGCTAATGTATAATTTTTACGACTCAAATGCAGATTGGATTTTAAAATATACTCTTATATAGGCAGCGTTATACAAGCCAATGAACATTATTGCTGTCTACCGAATCATCGAACAATGCAGATTCTACAATTTTAAAGATATTTAGAGTTTTAAAAGTTGATCTTTAATCTTTATAATAAAAATTTGTTATTGAAAAGTAAGTCCGACGTGAAGCTTTTGTTTTGCTCTCATATAGTAAAAATATATATATTTTTAAAACCAATCACGTTTTTGCCGATTAAAAATACATTTTAAAATGCGTTGCATTCAATTGCGTTTCGTATACAATGGACTAAATAAATAGAAATATTGATATTATACATTTAGTTTTGAGACAGGTTTAGATTTCAAAGAGTAGTAACCATTAAATTTGACTACCTGAACGCCCGTTCAAGCGAGTACAATTGTAACTTACTATATTCCAATTCCGTAATGAATTGTACAACTACATTCCAACCGATTACTACAACATTCCAACCCTAATGAAGAGTAAAAAATAATTCAATTACCATAACTTTCTAACCGCAACGAAAAGGTAAAACGTGATACAATTAAGATAGCTTTCATACCGAAATGAGAGGTAGAACGTGATACGATTTTCAAAGCTTTCCGACCGCAACGAAGGGTGGACCGTAATACGATTACCATAACTTCCAACTGCAACAATAGGTGGAAAGTAATGAGATTTTTTTTTAATTCAAACCGTTATATAGTGATGTACACAATACAATTTTTCCAACAGTTCCGACGGGTAGAACGCAATTCGAACACTGCAACATACCAACCTTAACGGAAGTTGAAACGCATACGATTGCTACAATTTTCAACTATAGCATAGGGTGGAACTTAAACTCACAAACGAGAACTTGAAGCCTTTGTGTTATGTGCGCCATGCGAAGGAAGCCCTACTGCTTATCTCCTCGTATAGCGGCTTCGTGACAGCAACCTTGACCTCTACGCAGCTGAACTTTTTCTTATTAACGGCAGGTCAAACTTGAATGTTTTCCGTCGACAATGCAATATTTTTGTTGAATATTTGCGAAACATTCAATTGATGCATGATTATTAGAAAACGCTTGCGAATCATCATGGGCAAGTTATTTTTCGTAAACACAAATGCGTCAACAATTGCATCACGCAACGAATAGCTAAAATTTTACATTTTTGAGTAATGAATAACCGAAATAATTTTAACAATAATGAATTAAATCGGAAATGATCCATCATTAAAGTAAGCGATTCATTAGAAAGTCACGTAGCGCTTAAAGTAAACCATTCCAAATGACTAATTCATTGATAGGCGCAAGATATCCGGCAGTCGAACATCATTTAACACGCGGCACGACTCACCGGTGGGTCGTACCACCGGTATGAAATACGCCCTGAATATGACATGGCCATACTTAACGTCTTAAATAAGTTCTCAATGAAGGCTAAATGTCGTAACAAGAGGCGCGTGGCTTAGAAACATCACAGCGCTCTCGTCTTCCATGGCTTCCCGCATGGCTTCCGTTGGCTATAAAGAGACCCGGCGCCAGTTCGTGCTCTTCACTTGCTCCGGAGCATTCGAGGCCTTCGAAAACAGCAACTACATCTGCATTGCGATAGACAGAAATAAGCATAATCATGTTATCGGGATTTATTGCTCCTCCTTTAGATAGAAATTTCTTGTTCCGTAAACCTAAGGGCGTCACTGAAAGGATTGAGTACACCGCTTTGGAGGAGCCCATTGTTTCTCTAGCTCGTCTCTCGATGAGTTTTGCACGCACCAACTTGGCTAGTTGTGATGAGTGCTTAAGCAGCCAATACGAAGACAAAGCCAAGAAAAGTCGCTGCTCCATAGTACCATCGTTAAAGAAATCTCACAGTGTTGAAAGCTCAGAAAGTTCTGACGGGGTTTCTTCACCCATTCCAGACTTACGCAGCCAAAGCATTTTATTTCAATCTAAGCAAAAAGGAATGATACCAAAGTTTGCTGAAAGGACAGTCAAAGGCGTCGTCAATTCGTTATCACCGAAAATTAGCAAGAAAAAGTGCGTTCCAGCAACTCGGGAAATAATGTGGCCTAATTCTATGAACACTTTTGCAAGAGGGATAACTACATTTCGATCATCAGCCATGACAGTCCCTGATGAACCTTCGGCTCTTGCAGAGAAGCTCTTGAATGAAATAGAAGCCAGGGATGTTATTCATCAAATGATGAAAGAATTGGCAGAACCAATTGAACTCATCGACTTTAGTGATGATAGTGACGATCTTGCCGAACAAAAGTCAGACGAGAGTAGCGATGCTGAAACTATTGAAGCTATTTGTTCACATTGCTGCCGTAAGGTAAATGAATTGGACGGCTCAGCTGATTGGTCCAACGATATGAGAATAGAGAATGGCTGTAATCCTATATATGATTTGTCTTCTAACGTTAGTTTTGTTTGAACTAATTAAGAAAATTGTTTGTACCAAGTGCGTGTAGATCTTCGTATGTATGTTCTCAGACAAGTTATTGTATTTCAATGTGTTCAATGTTTTTTAATAAGAAGTTTATAAACTTCTTCGAATTATTTGATAGAATACAAAATAAGTTTCTGTGGCCAGCTTTACAGAGTAATAAATTTCGTCTAATTGTGGGGCTAACGGGGAAGATGAAGAGAGTCCGATTTTTCATTGTCCTTTTAAAACTGAACTTGAAATTATGAAAATACCTTAAAACGTCAGAAAACTGAAATAAATTAGTTGTTTAAAAATATTTCAACGTGGTATTCTTTGCCCTTGAATATTTCGCTTTGTGGATTGTAATATTTCGACTTTTATTAACAAACTCTCATATTGACTGAGAGAAGATAAATTTGGATGACATTTTTTTTTTTGCTTCAAAACGTCTCGTTTGATACATTAAAGGTTACTATTAACAATTTACTTGATTCCTTTTCAATGATCACATTATGTATTTGGTGCGCTTTATATTCAATACTAACAATTATTATTACTAGATCAACACTTCACCTTGTTCGCCCGCGAGCTCGTCAACGAGTCCAAACGCAAAACGACCGCATTGACACTTCAGCGAACCCGCCTGCGCACTCGAATGCAAAACCTAACTTCACATTCAACTCACCCAGCCATAAATCAGTCAATACTGAACGGATTTCATTCAAATTTAAAAAATAAGCAGAGCTGGGCAGCGCTACTTGGAAATGTAGCGGCGCTACCGCTACCGCTACATGCTCTAAATGTAGCGGGCGCTACCGCTACCGCTACACCCACTAGATTGTAACGGGCGCTACCGCTACAGTAAAATGTAGCGCGCTACATTAGCCGCTACAATGGCCAAAATTATTGGAAATCTCTAAATATTTATTGTTCTGCTATTGGGCTGTCTCTTATACACATCTAGATGTGTATAAGAGACAGGTATATATACTTGGCAGGCATGCACTTATATAGCTAACAGGTCTAATAAAATCTATCAAAACAAGTAATCTATTTTGCAAATAAAACATGAGATTTCTAAATATACTGGTACCTAATTCGTTTTGATTTACTGATCTAGTTCAAAACTGTATCCAATATCTATATGATCATGAACTCATGGTTACTAACATAGCGGCAAAGCAGAGAGTTTTTTAGACNTACTGCCCACCTCTGAAAATAAGTAGATATCACCAATGCGCTGTGGACTGAAATATTTCAGATTTTTACATCAATTCCTTTTTAGCGCATTTTCTCATTTATGAAAAAAATGCACTATTGTGCTCGACATGTCCGTCCGTCTGTCTGTCCGTCCGTGACTTCACGTTTTCGTCGACGAGAAAATGCGCTCGATCTCTGTCACTCACTGCAGTGAGTACTGAGTTATATTTTCTATTAATACGGAAAACCTAACTTCATGCTCAAATCTCCCAGTCATAAATCCATCAATACCTAACGGAATTCATTCAAATAATAAAAAAAAAGATATTATCAATGCTCTGTAGAGGTAATTATTGTAGATAGATTTTTCCGAAATGTCGAATCGACCGAAGAGGTCGATTTGGCCGCAAAACGCAACTCGTAAGCAGAGCTGGGCAGCGCTACTTTGAAATGTAGCGGCGCTACCGCCACCGCTATATGCTCTAAATGTAGCGGGCACTACCGCTACCGCTACACCCACTAGATTGTAGCAAGCGCTAAAGCTACAGTAAAATGTAGCGGCGCTACCGCCACCGCTACATGCTCTAAATGTAGCGGGCACTACCGCTACCGCTACACCCACTAGATTGTAGCAAGCGCTAAAGCTACAGTAAAATGTAACGCCGCTACATTAGCCGTTACAATGGCCAAAATTATTGGAAATCTCTAAATATTTATTGTTCTGCTATTGGGATTTACTCATACACATTTAATGATAATAAAACATTTTCAAAACATATCAATGCAACTTTATTGCAATTAACCTAACCGAACTAGTACGGGTTAGATACAGTAAATAAAAGTTACAGTTATTTTTATGTTTTACCTTCCCTACATGGATGTGTACTTTAATCTACCAATCTAAAAAATTATCCAGATGTACATATAAAAAAACAATCTTTTATTTGTATGTATATGTGGATTATTTTTTTTTGAGATTGGCAGATTAAAGTAGACATCCATGTAGGGAAGGTGAAACATAAAAATAACTGTGTAAAAATAACTGTAAGCAAATTGAAACATGAAAAAATACCTGTAAGTGGTAACTGGTAACAACTTAACAAGTAACAACTAACATAACAGCGCCGGAGCACAACTGGCCGGAGCGCAACAGGCTTTACCGCAACAGGCGCAGGTTAGGTTAGGTTAGGAGTAGGGCCTGGGTCAAGCGTTGTAGGTAGGGCCTGCTGCGCTCTGGCCAGTTGTGCTCCGGCCTCCGGCGCTCTTGTGGTGGGCGCTCTGTGTCGAAAGCCGTGAATATGCCTGGCTGCGTTGCTCGGGAAGGTATATGAATCGCAATGTGGACTTGGGCTATGCTGACCTCTAGGTATCCATAATCCACCCGAATTCATTACATATTTCTACGTAGCATCATTTTCAATTAAAAAAAACCAAACTGCGATGTGCGCCATATATGGCGCACGCTTAAAAAATTTAGTTTTTAAAAAAAAATCTCTTTAAAATATCAGCTAGATCATAAACTTGTGAAAAAAATATGATGGATAATTGACAATAATGTTTTCAAAAACCTATATGAACGTCGTGCAATCGAATCATAAGAATCTTAGTAGCCTACGGTAGTTGGAATGTAGGCCTAGGCCTGAAATAATGAGTGGGTACAAAAAAAGAAAAAGTATTAAATAAAGGGGGTTATCCTGTTCCAATAGGTTGAAAATCAGTTTTTCGGTATTGGTATGGATTATAGCAGTAGAAAAATGAGTATTAGTCATTCGAAAGTTGCCTAAGGCTAAGCTCACACAGAAACAGAATGGCACTGAAAAAGCAAGATAAACAGTGATACAGATTCCGAGTACTGGGCTAGCAATTGATAGTTACTTTTCTAGCTTTTCGTCTCACTTTAGCACCAACTAACTTTTTTTTTTTGCAATTAAAGCAAGACTCAGATCAATAGCTCGTCATGGCATGAAGTTCAGATCCTCAGCTTCAAATACTTTAGAGCTGGAACGCCAACATCTAAAATCATTATGATTTGGTTATACCTAGAAACATTTCTTCACGTGTCTGACCTATTATTAGTGAAAATACATTCAGTAATCTTCAATGACTTCAGCAATTGACATCGATTTTTACTGACTAAGCCTATAGTCTAGAACTGATCACCAAGCACCCAGGCATTTGCTACAGTTTTTGCCAATAACTTGAACAGTTGTTGGTACTTGGTACCACTTCATAGTTCATGCTTTGCTTAGAGCAGTTTTGTAAGAAATCATCTAAATGAAATAGTGAATTATAAACTTCCCATTTAGCAGCATTTTACCCCAGAATGATTTGTAGTTTGTTTATTGCAGTCATAATCTGATTTCATTTGCACAGAAAAGATTTTTTTTTCAAGCTTTAGTACCCGTGTGATGCAAATTTTTTATTGTAGTTGAATAATAAAAGCCGTTGTACCTCATATGGCGCACGTTGCCTAGAAAGATGAAAGTTTCCATCCCAGGTGACATGCACCAATTATCCAATAGAGGCTAATGGTTTTTATGTCAGAAGCTTGTAGAAGTCGCTCAGACAAGAGCAGCGCACTAGCCCTGATCTTGCTGCCTTGTCTGTAACTTTAGTTATTCAAGTTTGAATGAGTTGCGCCACTGGTCCACTGGAATACAGGCTATTTTGCAAGTCGCAGTCAAAGTGTTAAAAATAGCATATGGAATTTTGAGAAGCCATATGATAGCCCCCTGCAAAGACCTTTCAAATGAGCCCAAACTTGTTTATGAAATGTTTTATGGCAAGAAATTCTTGACAAAAAATTCTCAAAATAGTCCCTTATTACCCGTTACCAATGGTAGATTGGTAGTCAATGTTGGAAAGTCAGTATTGCAAGTTTCATTCATTAGGTCAACAATCAACATACATATACTGATATAGGCCTATCTAGGTTAGGCTAGGCAGTTTTAGTTAACAATACTTCTTGAATTCCAGGCAATTGATTATATCAATTTCTCTCATACTCTAATTGGATATTGATCCAAAATGGCAGCTGTTGCAGAGCCTCTAACCTTACAACAAGGTGGGTGAGTCAAACTGATATATGAATTAATACTATTATATGCATTATCTCATTTTAACACAAAACAGGATTTGGGAGGTGTAGTTAGCTGTTGATCTATTTGTTCATTGGTTGATTTATATTTCTTGTTGATACTCATAAACTTGTGTATTAAAAATATTCATTATGTTAACAAAACTTAAATTCATATGTCTCAGTGTCCTTTCAAGGCTATACCTTTCATCAAAAGGAAGTAGAATTATGCAAAATATATTACTTTCATATGTGCCCAGGCAACAAGATTGCTAAGCAATATAAGAAAACCTATTGAACAGACCTATTATTATATCATTGTTGACAGTAAAAATTTTGGCCTACAGTAGCACACTATCCATGTGACAATAATTTCATGTATGATTCACTTATTTTTACCATCAACCTTGAAAGGTTGAATAGGTGCTTTTGAATATGCTATCAAATTTTCTTTCGTCTTGTTTTTTTTTTTTGTATTGGAGGATATTGTTGATGCTCATTTTAAAACAAGAATTTGTATGAATATTAACTTTAATTAATTTAGCATTTATCAACTGATCATTTAAGGTAAAAGCTTTTGGAATAAAAAATCCTCTGCTTCTGGACCCATGCAACATTTTTCATATTTGTTTCAGTCAGCTTGGGTAGAATCTTCAGAAAGCATTGTAGTTCATATTTATCTAATTATTTAACCTCCAAATTGGTCACTTTTGTCATGTAAGTCCATGCATGTTTGCAAAAATATAAAAATATAATTATTGACTTATTTCACCAAATACTTATAAAGGTCTCTTTACAGATGTGAAAAGAGCTGTGGAGCTACTTGAAAAGCTGCAAAAGAGTAAGTGACAAGTAATATTTAGTATGTTGATTTGCTGCAAATAAATACTAACAAGAATTAGCCTTATCTGAATCAGTTTCTCAAATGTGTGTTGGTGTGTCAGTGTTACTAGAAAATATTGAAAAAAGCAAGAAGTTGCAGGGAGAAGTGAGAATGGAGAAAATAATAACAAGCCAAAAGGCTCTTGATGCATAATTTGGTAGTTATATGTAGTTTAGCTACTGGTTAGGTTAGGAAGGTTTTAAGACCCATCAGCACTTAAGAGGGTTATGAAGCATTAGATTGGGCTTGCATTTATGTGCAGCATATACATACTGCATTACCTATTGCAAAACCATTTATACATCATCCATTGAGCATCAATACATTATATATTGTGTAGTGTGAAAGAGGGAGCCAGCCAAATGATTATTCTAAAAAGTTGTTACATTTTAAATGCAAGGTTAGTATACCTAGTGTTAAGTGTTATTGTGACATCATGTAGGAGACTATTTTATTTTTGTTTCTGGAAAAGGTTGATAGGGTATTTTGTGGTGTAGCTAGTGCAGTGTGTGTTCATTCCTCTTTCTTTTTGAAATCTGAGTTGACTAGGAAATAGTAAGAGGTGTGTGCTTGAATATGACTACTATCTGTTGATTTGTATTGTGTTTTGTGATTTGCAGTGTTTTTCAAAAAGTGAGATGGGTTTTTAGTCTTAATTTTTTGTGTTACATCTAATGAGATGTTGTAATGTGTAAGGTATGATGCTATCTGTTCAGTGTTTGAGCTTATTATTTATTTCATGGATTTCTAGAATTGTCTGTGGTCTTCGAGTTCTTGTGTTATGTCCTGCTATATTTGTGTTTGTGGGTCTCTGGTCAGTTGATTAGTAGTTGTGTGGTAGGTAAGAAAAGTTCCCTTGTAATTTTGAGCTGCGTGTGGCTTGGGATTGTGTTTGTGTATGGAGTGTTTCAGATTGGGTGTTGTGTTGGGGATGATATGGGAATAGCCAGGCCTCTGTCATGTGGTATTATTAAGGTTCAGTTTTTCAAGACAGGAATTATTTCTTATATTGTCAGGCTAGATATTCTGGCTATTTCGCAATGCATTTTTATGTACTGTCCAGTTTGCTTTGTGATAGGACTTTCAAGGTTACATTGCAATCTGTGCTGGATTGGCATATATTGTTATGGCTTATGATCTGGTCTGCGAGTGTGATTGTCCTTGGTTGAAGGTGTATATTACGGAGTCACTGTTGTGTCTTATTCTGTTCTGTATGGGGATTGCTTGCTTCTGTGGGTGGGGAAGGAGGGGCCTTTGGGAGTCCATTGGTTATGGGTTACGGTATGTAACTACCTGACTTTAAGGTGTGAGTTTCCTCCAGCGGGGGCGCTGAGTTAATACTGGCAAAAAGTTCACTGGGTGTGGTTCATTGAGTAAGGTATCCAAATCAATGAAATTTATGGCCACTGATTCTGGTGCTACTTTTTGAATACGAGTACATTTATGGAGGTGCATTATTCATGAGGGAGTAGTCGTTCAATAGAATGTTATTATGACCAATGTTGTAAATGATGGATAGTACAAATTTTCAGTTATTCCAGGTTTAAACATTGTGATGATTTTTATTGAGCACCCAGGAGTAATGTCAGAGGAGAATGTGTTGAGGTGGCTGTTTTTTTTGTAGCAGATGATCTGATTGTGTTACTAAGAGCTTCAGTGTGTGAGTTTTGCAGAGTTCATACATAAAGTAAATTTGGCATGGGTCTACAAGAATGGGGTGGGAGTTGTTGCTCTGAGGAGTTATTTGGGGTGCAAGAATTAATTTGCCCCAGTATCATGTGTCATTTATTTCTCTTCTTTCCTTGGCCTCATTTGTTGCCATTTTTGACGTGTTGTGTAATTTGTTTAGCTGGGGAGATTCCAACTGCTAAACTTGCGGCGTTGCAGCGAGTGCTGCAAAGCGACTTCCTTACTGCCGTAAGAGAGGTGTACGAGCATGTGTATGAGACTGTCGACATCTCAGGGTCTCCAGAAATACGTGCTTCAGCAACAGCAAAGGTTAGTAGTATTGCTGATTATTTATAATTTTTGTGTTAAATTTGTTCTGAACAGTATTCCTGAAAGTCTCTTAACAACTCCAATTTAATTCCAAGTCTTTTAAAACCCTTATTGTGTAGCCATGGAGTCTTCAATCCTAGGTCTGACAATACCAGTAATTGACAGCATTAAGATGTTGAAGTCACAATAGCTTGCAACCAAGAGAGAATAGCTTGTAAATTGCAGTAATCATTTCAGCCAAATAAATTGGTGACTAATGCATTTATTATTCTAATTAAAAAATTTCTCTTTGAGCACAATTTATTTCCAACTTAGCAAAGGAACCATAGTTGTTTTGTACTAGTGTCTCTAACTAGTGTTTCTTCCTCAAAACACTTGCTTATCGGTAATTGTTTACACAAGTTTGCTAAAAAAATGTACATATTTTGAACTACGTACTGATCACGTGCAAAATTCTCCATCCATTCTTCTCATTTGGCTTTTTCTACATTGCAACGATGTGCTGACAGTGGCCGCGTGGTTTGTTAGAGGCCTGAAGATTTTAATAACATTAGATGCGAATCTTTTTTTTTTCATTATGATTGAGGTTGTGAACATTAAGCTGTTACTTCCAATAAACAAACATTAAATCATGAAATTCCAGGCTTGGTTTCTATCTCAGATATTCTTGAGTGTTCAATAAAAATTATTAAAACGTTGAAACCCGGAATAACAGAAATGTCTCATGGGTACAAATAATAGTTATGTCTTATGCAGAAAATGGATTTCTCTTAACGTGACATTAATTTTTCTTACTTCTTTAGCCGAAATCATAGTTGTTTTTTTGATCCATAAATATTATTGAGTACAACTGCTCGGTCTGCATGGAATTTCGGCGTCTGTATTAAAAATTCATGAATGAGCACCTATAGCAATGTGTTACTATCAGTAAAGGCATTGCCCTGCTTCACGCCCCCTTCATCTATGTCGCCTGTGAGACAGTAGCTTGACGGGGGAGGGGGGGGGGAAAGGTGCAATGAATGTTCTTATTTACTTCCAGGATTCTGGAGTTTAGTCCAAGCTCCAAGATGAGGCTGTTGCAAATTATAGTGGAATTGTGCGTGTGTCATTGGTGGGTGTCTGATGTGAAGAGTGCGACGGCTGACCTCTGCCAGGCTAAAGTAACAGCTAAGTCAAGGAACTAGGTACTGGTGGAGGTCAGATGCCGCATTCGTTGATAGGAAAAGATAGTGGGTGACACTGTCGAACGCTTGTAAGAGGTCGATGGCTGCTGCCACAGTACGGGCTGGGGCTCGTCATGAGTTATAGCCCGCCGCGATCTTCTGCGCGGGTGGGAGTAAAGTGAATTGATTTGAAGCCTAGCTTCAACGGAGCATAAATGGAGTTTATGAGGTGTGGGAGTATGATCTGATCTAGGATCTTGACTGCTAATCGGAGGACCTCATCTTCTTGGCCACTTTATCATTCAGGACGACAATGTCACTTGTGAGGCGCGGTCGGGAATAATAGAAATTCTGTATTGCAACCAAAGACACATCACAGGATGAGCCAACTCAATGTTTGAATTGAACTAGCCAAGTCAATGATGACTTGTCGGCTCAACGAAATAATCAAGGTTGTTTCAAATCAGAATTCCTGACAGTCGCGTTCTGTTTATTGATTTTCTTTACAGAAACAATAATAATGTTAATAATAAACAAAATGATAACAATAAACATGAATATTTTTTTAAAATGACGCTGTACAAAACTACCTTCCCACATTGGTTACCTTTCATCATAAAGGTAACTCAACTTTAACTCATAACCAGTTCTCGGCCATTACTGTCGCCAATTTTGTCTTGAACTCATCTGCTTACCTCGCTCGCACCTTCATATTATTAAATCAAGCTCACCATTGCAGGCTACGGTGGCTGCATTTGCGGCGAGCGAAGGCCACGCTCACCCCCGGGTCGTGGAGCTCCCTAAGACCGATGAAGGGCTTGGCTTCAACGTGATGGGGGGGCGGGAGCAGAACTCCCCCATCTACATCTCCCGCATCATCCCGGGCGGCGTCGCTGACCGACACGGCGGCCTCAAGCGAGGCGACCAGCTGCTCTCTGTCAACGGGGTCGTGAGTAGCTCAGCCTCTGGTGTCTTGCTCTCTGGACATGTACTCCAAGTGCCATGATATTTTAAGGAAGTTTTTAGATTACTATTTGACCACGAGCTGGATTGTCCATTATTTATTGTTATTGATGTTTAAGTAGTTAATCGAACCTGGCGTGACTCACTTGATGAGGTCATTAATACCAAAACTGTGAGCTCTGTCTAGCAACACGCAGCCCATTAATGTTGATCTGGTTTGTGACGTGGTGAAGTGTGATCTGATGCCGGCATTCGAGGTTCTTTGTTGATGTCTGGTTCTCTGGCATCGAGTTCTTTACTCCAGCGAGTGTACTGTACAATGTTCCATTTATTTATGGATAACTGACCATTAATGTCATTCGAACATCTTTATGAATCTATAATAACACGAGTCATGTACGAATTGCATGCTGTTTTAGTTTATATGCTTATATTTTTTTGTGTATTTGTCTTGATCCATAGTTCAATCCATTATGTTTTAAAATCATAAAATGATCAAGAGTCCTGGAAATAAGATTGACATGTATGTGGTTGCAGAGCGTTGAAGGGGAGAACCACGAGCGGGCAGTGGAGCTGCTGAAGGCGGCGATCGGGTCCGTGAAGCTCGTGGTGCGCTACACGCCGCGCGTCCTCGAAGAGATGGAGATGCGCTTTGATAAGCAGCGGACAAACCGCCAGCAGCACGCGCAGTAGGCGCTGCCTGAGAAGACACATCCGTGGCTTCCTAGCAATGAGTCGCAACGGAAGGACGTTGCTTCTACGAGCGTCGTGTGTTTAGTTCTTTGACGGTTTTTCCAAAAGCCACTTAGAAGAAACTTCTGAGGCATTTACATTTGTTAGTCATTTGATGTTTTATCTTAGGAATAAATCAATTATCTTATAATTGATAGCTAATTTATTCAGAAATAAATTAATAGTTGTATAATTGATTTCTAATTTATTTGCATGTTGAACTGATTTCATGTGAATTTCTAATGATTGTAATGGTTGTGACTGTGGCAGCTCAGATAAAAATGAAGCTAAATGTATTAGAATATTTCCTAATCACAAATATATAGTGTCAAATTCAACCCTTACTCAGACGTTAAATCTGTTGTTCTTCTAGTCACGTATAGTGTTGTACTAATAGCTTGCTCCACCTTTCCCAGAATTTATTCTGTCATGTGTTCTTCTAATTTAGATTTGTATTAAGTGCAAGTCTGCATTATCTGTATGGAGTGGACGTTCTTGCAGATCTAATCGTTGTCTCGCGTCTTAGTCGTCACTGACCGGCATCATAAACATTTGTTTATTGTCTGGACATCCCACTCACATGGTTAGTGTTAAAGTCTCTTGTATGTTCATATTTTAAGAAGACAAAGTGATGGGGGGGTTTATATAATTTTATTGACATTATAATGTTTGACTTTATATGTTCTGTAATCGTGTAGATCGTAATCGTGTTAATTGTGATTAATGCTGCAGGTGTTGGAAGGAAATTACCAACAAGTTATTCCTTATCTGTGTCTTTTTAGGTGATGATGCTATTTCGTATGGGTTGTGGGCGCGATTTGAATAATCAAATTTTACCAATTTGAGCAACAATTCATCTTTTATTTTCGCTCTCTTATTAGTAATTTATAACGTGGTAGAGGGAATAGAGTTAGCTTCCTTGCATTGTAACTGGCTATTCACTGTAATAAAAAATTAGGCTGAAGAAATTAATACAGGTGCTACTATGCAGGACATTTCTAAATTGTTACATGGGTGATTTTGATCTGTATGTTGGAAAATTCATATTGATTGTAGATTTATTCTAAGTTCCAATTTAGCGCTACTTTTAATCTACTAATTTTATGTTTCTAATGAATTATTTTTTTTTTATGGTATTTACTGTCTCCAGCCATGTCTTGTAGGCACTTTTATTTTTAGACAAACTCTGCTTAGCTTGAACCTGATCTACAGCAAGTCGAGTTGTGTCGAACTTTACAATTGTGTTGTTTAAGATTAAGTTATTAAGTTGACAGTTTTTTTTGCGAAGCAGAAACTTTTGACTCACTTGATCTCAGTTCAGGTAATAACGTTTTCTTAGCAAATCTAGGGCTGCTCTGACAATGCATTTAATGATTTATTGTTAGTATTTAGCTCATGAAATTGTGTTGAATGAAGCTGATGACAATACCGGCAGAGTATCTGCAATTGCCCCACTCGTCTGTTGCAGAGCCATGTTGACGTTCGGCCTCTTATTTAGCTATGAGTCTGTTATGTGTGCCTGCTGCGCAACTGTCAGCTGTGCAGGGCCTTTTGGTTGACGTTGTGTCTGATTAGTGTTTGTCAACTAAATACAATATTATTTTTCTCCTAAATATCTCCATTTCGTAGGAGGCAAAGTTTAAAATAATTTTTATTTCATTTGTGAAGAGAATTTAAATTAAATGTTTGTTTTTAGTAACGTCTACCTCTGACACGACGTTATCTCATCTTTCTACGAAAATGATGAACTGTGCTTTCTGAGGCTGGTAATGATTCAAAATATTACTATCAACTTAAAACTTTCGATTTAAATTTTAGCCTGGTTTACTCTATAGAAGAGAACGCATTCATTATTTGGGATATTTATTACCTGTTTTTGAAGTCCTACTGAATCCTTTATAAGAACAATTAAAAAAACGTATAGTTATTACAGCAAACGTGCAATATCGTATCTATGTCTGACACTAAATGAAGTGCTGAAGTTTTTTTTGAAGAATTTCTAGATCTCCTTAGGTGCCTGTGAATTTATGTCATTTAATGTCATTCTATGTCATCTGATTGCTGTATTTGAGTTTGTTACAGAAATAACATCTTTCGAGCATTCCTCTCTAGAACTTCTTTCTAAAAACCATATTTGATTTGAGTAAACTCTGTTTTAGGTATCGTAATTAAAGCCATTAAGCATTTATATTATTTTTATACTCCTGATTAATTTACGATTTTGACATAATTTTTGGCAACGTTCAGATGGGAGTGGTAATTAATTTCCACCCCAGAAGCAAGAACCCCAAAGCTGTCTTGCGCGCAGTGCGTTGTATGATGCTTCTTGCACGCTGGCAAGTCAGATCGTAAACTATTGCGTAAAAAATTCCATCTGCGCGCCATTCCAGCGCCAAACCACATCGTTCCTTACGTCAAATTATATGTTTTTTTTTTTACTCGATCTCCTGAATGCCCACCAGTGCGAACTATTTCATACGCTAGGGAACTTCGTGTTTTTGGTATAAATGAGCCTGTGTCTTGACGGATACGAGGCGTGCATCGTGGTTTATGGTTCATCACATTTATACAGTTGCTATCTGTATATCCTATATACTCTTTATATTGAATCAGTAGAGTCTGAATAAGAAATTGACAGCGAGGAGACTATTTAGCACAAGTAGAGCTGCATGATCCGCAAGGGGGTGTCTTCCATGAGGCACCAGGGGTCACTGAGGCATCCCCCGGACACCCTGCGCCTCACTCAACCCCCATACACTCATTCAAATGTTGGGATCAATTCTTGTAAGCCTAGTGAAAGTTGCGTCTCGAGTGAGCAAGACGAGGACGGTGGATGCAAGGAGCAATCATTGTGGCCTCTGATCACTCTTCTGTTGCTGCTGGAGACCGCGTTGTCATTATTCTCTAGAGTGCATCTGGCAGCCTACTTGATAGGATGTTCATTAAGATATCTCAATTAACCTGGCACATGCTACCGTTATTTCTGAAATACAACTGAGAATATACGTGCAGCTTTTTAACGAATACCAAATTCAATAGTTTTCATCGCAGTCAAATAGGTTATTCGTTGATAGTTCACTGGAAGGGGAGTGGATGTACTAAAATTTTTTTCTTTAGGAAGGACAGCCGTTGTTGTGTTAGTCTTTGTCAACGTGAAAGGAGTCTGCGGACATCACTCTTCAACTACAGGATTCTAAGAGGTTAAATACAGATCAGACCAGATATATATTTAAAGCTTACAAATGTTTGAGCTCAATTTTGATCTTACCTAATACTTTCGTTTGTATAGCACCTTTTTACTTGTCAGTTCTGTGGGATTTCTTGTTGGTAGAAGCATGTTTAGTGGGCGAGTCATGGAGCTCGCGGTGTCTGGCTGCCGGTCCAGTCCTATGGTCAGGATTCTGACACTTTCGTGGGGTCTCCGATGTATCGTGGAAGAGTTTCGGCCGGCCGACATATCGTGCTTAACTTATCTCTTATTCGTCCTGGGCGACGTAATCCTATCTCTTATTCGTCCACCACATTTCCCTGCACGTGGTGATGTAAACTGCCACAGTGATGCATGCTTCCACTGATGATCTCTTGGTAAACTCAACAACTGCTCTGATCGCCTTTTGACGACAATGGTGGTTACTGGCGAAATACTAATAATAATAATAATGTTTTCACATTAATGAACCTGAATTATTCTGATTTTGTAGAAGTGACTGCTTACAGTGTTACCGCCATAAACAACTCGCTACATCAGAAAAGTCAAAGCAAGGAAAAGTTTCACGTGCAAAAAGGATGGTGAGTGAACTGATGCGATATTATACCGCCACCTTACATCTCTCATGCAGTTTTAGCTCGCTTCACATGACAGATTTTCCGTAAATTTTTGATGAATATTTTACTCCTAAGAATCGCTGTGCAGTTTTTCACAGCTATCGTTCAGTTTGATATTGTTGCTATTGCAAACAAATTTCCCTCCTATCTTGACAGAAACGCGACTTATCACTGAGATATTGCTTCATTCTTAAATGACGATCAATAATTTTCCAGGTTATCTGGACGCCGAACTTCGTGTTGGGGGTGACGATCCTGCTGGCATGGGCGCTGTTTTCCCGGGTCGCCTACGTGCTGGCGAGCATCTGGTTCGGTGGGCCCACCGCCATACGCAAAGGATCGTCCATCAAGACGCTGGTCGTTTTGGGGTCGGGCGGCCACACCAGCGAAATGCTGAAACTTGTCGCTGGGCTGGACAGAGCTCGTTACCATCCTCAGGTGTTTGTGATAGCAAACACAGATAAACTCAGCAGGGACAGACTTAACGGACTTTCTAAACAAAATATTACTAGTAATGAAACTCCACCAAGCATGGCTAAGAACCAGGGATTAGCTGGGAACGGAGGCTACGAGCTGCGGTCTAGAAAGAAATTCGCCAATGAAGCGAGTGATTTGGATAAGCAGAGGCCGAAAAGAGAACAAGCCGAGACGGAAGCCATAGTTGAAATTATCCCTCGGAGCCGTGAAGTGGGCCAGAGCTACGTCACGTCTGTGTTCACGACCATCTTCGCAAGCCTGTGCGCATTGAAGATTGTCGTCAAGCATCGACCTGACCTCATTATTGTGAATGGTCCGGGCAGCTGTGTGCCGGTTTGCATGTGTGGCTTGCTCTTGAGGATGCTGGCGATATGCAACGCCAGGATAACCTTCGTAGAGTCACTGTGTCGAGTTCGTTCTTTGTCCCTCACTGGTAAAATACTCTATTGGTTCGCTGACGATTTCATTGTCCAGTGGCCGGATCTCCAAGCTAAGTACAAGAAGAGCAAGTTTCTCGGCCGTATAGTGTAGCCTAGTCATGTAATGGCCGTTTATCTTAACAATGGCTTACAGGGCCTTATGACGAGTTTGGGACTTCCTAGTCCTCGGTCACGCTTTTGCGCCGCCTTTGTCGTCCTCCGTCTCCGAGTCGTCGATAGGCAGGTCACCCCGCCCTCGGGTCCCAGATATATCGTTGGAGAGCGATGTTCCGGCGTAAGAGCGATGTCTCGGATTAAATATAGCTAGACATCTGGTTCCAGACATTTTTTATGAAACATTTTATTTTTTTTACTCTGGTGCTACTGTGAGTGAGCGTGTAATTTCTCTTGGAAATAAAATTAGAATCGTGGAGCGAAAGAATCTTATTTCATTCGTGAAAGAGTATATCATGTACGATTTCTTTCCTGCCCATTCGTATTCATCCAATAACTTCAAGCGATTTGACCTTTGCTGTTCGATTTTTTTAAAAAACCAAACGAAACCAATGTAGAATCTCGTATTAACATACGTAATAAAGAAATGTGTAGGGTTGTAGGATCGTAGATAATATCGGAGCTGTGGGGTCGCAGTCAAGTCATTTTTGGATTTTTCCCGAGACGCAGAGGTCTGCGCAAAATAATGCGTTTCACTGGTTGCGAAAACTTTCTTACTGCTGATGTATTTATAGTTGAAAGGTGTTTTGTTGCATTATGTCTATTGAAATAATTGTTGAGATTTCTTCTGGGAAACTGCATTAAGTGGATATCGTGTTCCCGTACGTAATTGTACTAAATTTATGATTATTTAATATGCTGGTCTCTTATTGAGATCTGTTTTGTTTTCAATTAAGACATTAAAACTCGGTACTCAGCTGCTTGTCGTAAGCGTGCACCTGTTTGACGACATTACTGTGCATTTGTTTTCATTAGAACCAGTTCTACCACATGCTTATGTCTAATAAAAGCGGTCACTTAACAGACGAATTTCATTCCATTTTTGAAAGAGCGTCACGAAAGCGATAGCTAACTCATCACCTGCGGCGGTACATGTATGCATGAACATGACACGAGCGACTAGCAGTTGCAGTTGCTGTGACGTCGCACGAAAGGACAAAAAACGTCAGAACGGAGTACAAAAAAAAAAAAAAAAAAACGGGTAAAAAACAGAGCATTATTATTATTATTATTACATTATTACCACGCCACTAAGGCCACTTCCTCTCAAATGAAAGGTGATGGGTAGACGAAATGAAAACCCCAGAAACTAGTGATGCAACAATCCGTTAAAAAATCTTCCAGTTCTGGAGTGGCTTCATGCAGAATCTTATCCGAGTCAGAGAATATGCGAACAGAAAACTAAAAGCGACCTCGCTATTGTGGGAGCGATAGCGCCCTACAGCGCACGGCAGACGCTGATACAAACACACCCACAAGTGGCTGCATTAATTCCATTCACACTTGAGTGGACGGAAGGTCTTCAGCATGAAGCTAAATAGATCTAAGTATACTACAGGCATTTTTAATATTTTCCGCAGAATAATAAGCAATCTACTACAATCAATAAATGGCATGAGAAACAATACCTATTATTCTGAAGCAAGTCGTGACTTGTAACATGGAACACTTACAACTCGTACACCTCCAAGACGCGCAAAATCGCTGAGAAAATATATTTCACAAAAACAAATTTTCGGTTAAACAAAATAGAGACTGTAAAGAAAAAGTTTCCACACCGACAATGCCAAAAACCTACAAAAAAAGTGACGTTTGCCATTTTCCTGTCAGTAGTTCCTTGTACGACGCACGCGTATATAATTTGTACTTTATTTGTAATCGAGAGTGCTAAAAAAAGAGTAAAAAAAGTTGTCTCCATTATTACTAGGCTAAATTTAGGTTTTGAAAATTTATCGATGGAAAATATTCCTAATCTAGACAAACAATATCCTCATTATAAGCACTTCCAGAGGTACCGGGAGAAGCATCCGACAGCTGACCTCTTACAAGTGAGGTCCTCTCAACGCTCTTCTGTCTATCAACAACAAACTTCTCAAGCAGATTTGCAAGTCTGACTGGGCTTTTCGTTTCTGTTTTAAAATCCAGCTTCACGTCTCCTGTGTGACTTTGCTCCAGCTCATTATCCCATTTGTACAATTTTGAAATGTTTTCTGAAATGTTTTCAAATAACTCACGTTCACGGTTAGTAAATTCGAGTTTTAATCCTGTGTTTTTGTAATTTTCTGTTTTGTACTCTGAAGCAGTTTGGTTTGCTGACGTTTCAGTTTTCGCATTTGATACATCAACTTCAAGAATAAGGCAGTCATTGTTTTCAAGCAACTCGCCAGGTGAAGGATCAGGGATTGCACTTTCATTTACCTGCAAATTATCAACAGTAGTGACGTTATTTACAATATTGTTGTCGACATCCGCGGTGAGCTGTGTGGTCTGATCAGAATTTCGAGGTGAATTCGAGACTCTTTCCGAGGTTCGATTTATCTCTGAAGACTCAACAAGACTGACTTCATCAAGCAGCTCCTCGTTGTCTAGTAAAGTAATGGTTTGTTTCATGGATGCTACGAGTGCAGGCGATCTTACGAAGATTTTTGGTTCTGCAAATTTTAAAAGCCGAGTCGGTGTTGTATCAGGGGTCTTCAGCTTTGAACGTTGAGATGGAGACGGAAGGATCGACACTTCATCAAGCTCTTCTAATTCCTCATCAACGGGCACATCCAGTGATATGATCTCATCTGCCTCAGGATCTTCTAAGTTAATTGACGCTCGTTTATGTTCTCGCAGTATCGAAATCTCCGGAGAGAGAACTGAGTTTTCGTCGTTCGATTTTGAAGGAGAAAAACTTGCCTTTGATTGCTCATAGCTTTCGCTTCCTACACTTGGAGTATTGATCTCAACCTCAATGAGCGCCGAGTTCACTTGAGACGACATATTTGCTTCAATGACTTTGGGTACTTCACCCGGCGTTGTGCTTCCTTCAGGATTTAAAAATTGCGCATCAATTGTAATTTCGGACGTGGCGTGATCGCCGCATTTATTGGCTGAAACTCGAGTACTTGCCTTTAAATGGCCTTCATCCCCGGATTCGTCTGAATATATCAATTCAATATCCTCACCGACATCAGACAATTCCCAGCCTTCATTCTCATCTATATCTTGCTCCCCATTTTCACTATTTGCAGCATCTCCTGCAACAGCATTCTGACAAGGAGACGAGCGCATGGAATCCAATTCTTTCTTTCCATCTACACTCAAATTCATCTCTGGAGCCTCGCCTCGAAGAGTACAGTCAACACTATCATCTAAATTTATGAGTTGAGGTACAGCCTTATTGCTTGCAGGGCGTGATAGTATACGATCTTCTTCAGAGCAAATTTGAATGTCGCAGGAATTATACATAATTTCTATTTCAGATGAGCTGGAAACATTCAGCATATCCCCCGCTCCCGTTTTAGTGGTTGGATGTAAACAAGAAAAACAGAAAACGTTGACTGGTATGACAGAGTCTTCGGCTGCTTTTTCAGAGCCAAGCTGATTGTCTTTAGCTTGTGAAATTTGTTCATTACTTGCCACGTTTAAACAACCTTCATCTTCCACGCCGTCAACCCCAGTCCCCTCTTGGCAAGTCGCATTGGGGTTTTCACTCGTACTAACATTCATCTTTATAGAAGAAATCTGATTTCCAGAAGTAGACTTGTTTGCTACATGCAATTGTTGAGGATGTGCAACTTGGTAGGAAGTAGACTCATTCAACTTGGGTTTTATTGGAGTGCTAGTAGGAACTTTGCTGCTCCCCACTGAGTTCGGACCATAGCTATATCCTGAATTTGATTGATTGGAGGGATGCAAGTTAGGGAGAGGAAGGAGGGGTCTTTTGTTGCTATTATACTGTCGATTGTCATTATTAATATAATTACTCCTATTATGCCATGAATATCTAGAATTATAATTAGTATGTTCATGGTGACGTCTCCAAGCAGTCCAATGATGCTGGTAATTCATCGAGCAAGGACGCTTGTATTGGTGCTGAAAAGGGCCCTGGTTGTTTGTCCGTTCTTGCCAATGACGTCTTTTCCTCCATCTGTTATTACTATTTGTGTTATGAAAGGGCTTTTGATGCATTCTGGCTCCAGCATTATTTGGAACATTATTAACATATAGTTTGTTAGTTTTAACTTCTTTCTCTTCAGAATTGATACCTCCATCATCATTTGCATTCACTGTTTGGTTTGAATTTGGCTCTCGTTTAATGTCCCTCAAACAATCCTGACTTGGTGCTGAGGTTGTTTCTTGCTTTACCTCAACTGGGAACTCTAATTTAACTTTCTTAGCTGGTCCTTCCCATTTTCTAGGTTGTCCTTCTTGTTTGATGATGACACGAGAGCAACATGAGCATTTTAACAAGGATGCTTGGGAACTCTGCTCTGCTGAAGCAGTAGAAAGTGACTCATCAGTACTTGAATTCAATCTGCGTTTAACTTTAGGCTGAGCAGTCACAGAAGCCATGGTAGAGATGTTTCAATTCTGAAAGGAAAAAATGAATATATAGATTAAAATTTAAACTGTTGCTTGCACTATTGTATATAAGATACAAGATCATTTTCCGGTCATCTATTTAATTTATAAATGACTGCAAAGTGCAAATGGTGAAAAGAGTAATACTTTTTTGTTCAAGCCTTTTTGTTTGTCTCTGTTTTCTGCACATGTTCTTCTTGTATGATTGATCATTGTGACGCCAGCAAGCCAAGAGATTGATGAGGGAATGTTTGTTGGTGGAATTGCAGTATAACTTGATATTATATATAGTGTTAATGTCAAAAAATATAAATATATATTTTGTTTGAACACATGTGGTTAATAGCATTAGAATTCATCAATTTCAATTTTCATGGGCAAACAATTATTCAGCTGATGTTAATTGATCATAGTGCAGGTTTAAGGATATGCAGGTTAACAGGACCATGTTGCTGAAAAACTTTTTTATTTATGGATGGATCATTATGAAACTTGATACACATATGTAAAATAGAAATCAATGACTTTCTGTTCATGTAAATTTTTCAATCAAAATGAAAAAATGTGAAATCCACGGAAAACAGCAAAAAAAGGGGGTACTGTAAAAATATATCTCCTAGGATTTTCTGGGGTTTTTAAGAAGAAAATCTAAAAGAAAATTTAACCACTGAAATTTGAAAAATGAACAATGACCGCTGAAATTTGTGGTCATTAAAGGTACCGTCAAACGGGGTAAAAAGGGACAGTTTTGAGCGTTTTTTGTTAATAACTTCTTACCATGAAACATTTCAGAAACAAGTTTAGGCTCATTTTATAGCTATCGAATGGCATCTTCAAAAAAATTCCATATGCTATTTGTAAGGTGCCAGACGCAAATAAAACCGTCCCGATTTACCCCTGGGAATGGGGTAATCCGGGACACTTGCAATAAAAGTTAATTTTAAAACGTTTGAAGCATGCAGAGTGTACTCATCTATTACTAACAGTACTCTGAAGTCCTCCTCTTTCATTGTAGATGATGCAGATGTAAAATAAATGACATTTTCTGTGATTTTTACTTGTTTTTCCTTTATTGATATGATATTACCATATTCATTAATTACCATATTATTAATGTGATATTACTGTATCCATGGACATGCCATCGAGCATTGACAATGACCTTGTCCACTGCAAGCTTCATATCAGCAGCCATGTAGCATTTCTTCTGTATCTGTAAACTTACAGGATGGTTTGTAATTTCACACAATTTTAATCAAGTCTAGTGATTTCACTATAACAAAAAAGATCATGAAAAACATACCTGAAACAGAAAATAATGTTCTAGTGACAACCATCATACGTTTTGAAGAAATAAATCATAGTTTAGGTCAATTGCTTTTCATTCTATGATGCCCGGTGCACAATTCTATATGTAGTATTCTATGTACAATTTTGTGACAACCAATGATGCACTAATTTTTTGATAAGTGAATTTTTTTTTGCCGAGCAAGGTAAATGTAATCAAAATTCTTTGTTGTTAATCAATTTTTTTGTTAACTGGAGCCTTTGCTAACTGAGGTTCTACTGTAAATGCATTTTTGAGGGTGTCCCTAATTACCCCAGGGGGGGTGTCCCTTTTTACTCCGTCGCGTGGAAATGGCTGCCATTTTTTGGAATGAGATAGGCAAATTCTGTCAATTACATTTCCAAGCAGACACCTGGGTGCAACTTTTATGTAAGTAAAATGTTTTAATATGGTGAATATTTTTTTTGCTCCAGACCGTAGCAGAGGTACTTTTCCAAAATCGCACTTTTCACACTTTTTTTCAACGATTTTTTTAAGGATAGTAAATGTTTGATTTCTTGACTAGCTTTATACATAATAGATAGTAAAAATGTTGCAGTTTACGCCACAATTTTTATTTTTTTTACGTCACTATTTTATTTTTCACTATTTATTTTTACTACATCCCTATTTACCCTGCCCATCCCTTTTTATCCCGTTTGACAGTATAGGTTTTACTTGCACTTCAACAGCAGACATGAACCAACAAATCAACAAACAAACATGGCTTTGGGCTCTTTAGATGTGCAATTTCTGGACCTTTAAAATTAGTCTAAAAATGGAGAAGTAAATTTTTTATTTTTAACCAACACTGTGATGACATGCTCCCATTTACAATGTTTTGAATGTGACATTTATTTTCAAGTTATAGGAAGCATTGAATACAGGAATTTTGGTGGAAATAAGCACATGATTAACTTTATTGATGTAATTTGGCAGAAGCTCCTCTTTTATGAAGGTTTGATTGAAGACCAGAGCATGCTTTTTATTAACAAACTTACTTTTTTCTTTTAATTTGGTTTGCTAGTTGCAATTGATGCTACTTGCAATCCTAATAATAATTTTATTTGACTTGTTGAAAAAATAAGATGATTGTTAATAAAAAGCATGCACAGGTCTTCAATCAAACTTGCATATAAGATACACTTTATATATATACATAAAGATAACAAATTCAAAAGCTGAAGACTAGGAAGCAAGTTAGTGAAAAAATGATAATACATTGCACTATAAATAGTGGATGCCAGGTAAGTTGCTGACACATAGAAATACACTTGTTCATTCATAAATATGTTTTCCTATAGCTATACTAGAAATTCAACCAAACATATATATAAATGTGATTGAAAAGGATCCATTCTTTCCTCTTAGTGCAGGAAGGATTATTTTTCTCAACAAAGGAAATACTTTGAGAAGCTTATTGTGGCTAATCAATATGCCTCAATCAATATGTCAGTGACCCTCGGAGTCGGTGTAGGCCACCATCAGAGGCGTTAAGGTTGGGGCCCTGATCATTGACATGAAACCATTCCCTGTTTTTAATTAATAAAATCAATTCCTTTTTTATATGCAACTGCCTTCAGAGACAACAGACTTGGACAAGACTGGATTAACAACTTCTTGATGACTTGATGAAATTTGATTTATGTTTGAAAATTCAATAAGAAATGTCAAGGGATTCAATAGGATTTTAGGATTCAATAAGAAAGGTCAAGTCTCTTATTTGTCACAATGTCTCAGTCATTCTGGAAAATTGGGCAACTTGGGCAGTCACCTCCCTTGAACAAGATGATGTCATGCTATCAGTAAATTTTTGCCATTTTCATGGATCTAGCAAGCTAATCCCTAATCCTCAGTCAGAAAGATGTGCTGGGTGTGCAGGAATTTATATTGTCATTAAATTAATCGGTACAGTGCACTGAAATAAGTTGAAAAGCTTTTCATTCACCCAAAGGTTTAAACATTGATGAGGGCAGCATGATTATATATAAATGTATAGTTACATTGTCTCCCTATGAATGTATGTGCATTAGTTACTGCATATATGTTCAATGCCTGCTACCGCCAACCGGGGCTACTCGGGACGGTTTTGAGCATTTTTTGTTAATAACTTCTTACCATGAAACATTTCATAAACAAGTTTAGGCTCATTTTATAGCTCTTTGCGAGGGCTATCGAATGGCATCTTCAAAAACATTCCATATGCTATTTGTAAGGTGTCAGAAGCAAAAAAAGAGTGTCACAAGTAGCCCCATCAAATAGGGCTACTTGGGACACTTGGAATAAAACTTACTTTTAACACGTTGGCCGCGATGTGCGCCATATATGTACACGCTGTACTCCTCAGAAACGCGATGTGTACACATGTGGTACATTCATATGAAAAATACATATTTTTATAAAATCTTATTACTCTTTCAAATTTAAAATTTCAATGATGCAATTAAATAGGCATGCTAGGGAATGATTTGAAGTCAACTACTGCTTAGAGAAATAGTTTTATTTTCAAATGCAAGTAATACAAAAATTACGAAATTTGTGTCCATTGATGAAAGCAATATATATATCTATCTTTGTATGAAAACAATATAAAATATTTTTTTATTGATCTGAAACTACAACATTGGGTGTTGCCAACATCACCCAATGTTGGCAATATGTGATTGATAAACAATTATCGCACATGTATGGTTTTCCTTCACAGTCATCAAAATATTTTTGTACCCTTCGCGTTTCACCTTTGCTACGGCACTTCCTTCATTTGCTGAGAGAATGTTGTAGCATTCATGGCAGCGCATCCTGGCTTTAGTTCTAGTTGGTTCAATGAAAGTGGGCTGTCCTCTGTCCCACTCGATAATTTGATTTTGAGATATACATCCTGATTTTACTCTTTCTCTGAAATACTGCTTGTAACAGAAGCTCAAAACAATATATACGATGAATGATCTCTATAAGGTAAATATAACTGAACTAACAATGTAAATACCCTCAATTTTATTCAGGATTATGAAAACCTGGACACCAATCTCTTTCCATAGTAATTTCCATGCGTAATATACATCATTCACAAAAAGCTACCGGTAGTCATAATCTGTGCAATTATGACTCAAAACTAAATTAGATTTCTTGCACGCATCACTCACAATGATGAAAGTGATAACTTTAGGCGTTTTTCCGCAAAATGAGCCATAGATGCATGTCTTTGCTTGGTACAGATCGCTCACAGTATTAGAAGTGATTACGATAGGCGACGTGAGCCAATACTAGCCACAACAGGCATGGCTTCATTTGGTACACATCGCCAGGAATAATGACGAATTTCAACCCTGAGCGATGTGCACCAAATGCGGCCACAAATTTTATGTGACACAATGACAGAACATACCCCTGCTGAGCTGCACACAACTTTTCTCCTTGCTATCTGCCGGGTAACTGAAGATATACAAGTTTGAACCTATCGCCCGTACGGCATTCGGGCCAAATCAGCAATCGCAGCCAACGTGTTAAAAAATTTGAAGCATGAAGAGTGTGCTCATCCATTACTAACAGTACTCTGAAGTCCTCCTCTTTCATTGTAGATGATGTAGAGGTAGAATAAATGACATTTTCTGCAATTTTTACTTATTTTTCCTTTATTGATATGATATTACCATAAATGTCAAATGTCATAAATGCCAGGGTC